CCCATTTGGTGAGATAAAGGCTTGTTGTTGTTGTTGTTGTTGTATTTTTGTTATTCATTTATACCTTAAGATGGAGATATGTGTTGTTTATTAAATGTAGAGATGTCATGATCATAAGAGAACGAACTGAACTTGCTCTTATCTCAACCATAGCTTTTCTTATTGGCTTATATAAAAGTAGATGGAAGATCGGATCATTGTTATCTATTTTAACAGATCATGGGGATGACACTCGAGGAATCAGGGTTTCTTCATAGCCTAAACCTGAACAGATCTCTTTTGCCAATAACATACGAAGTCTAATTGCATTCTGGATTCGGAAACATTCTTGTAGTTGTAAGACAAACATATATTAAGTTTTTAAATGTCCTTGATAAACCCTTGGACACAAAAAGCAGATTAAAACTTGTAAAACTTATTTGGTTGACAAAATATGACCTTTTTTCTTTCCCAGGGTGCTAAGTGCAGTTTTTGCACAGTATAACCCGGCAAACTTGTACTTTATTAGTGAACTAAAGAGCCTTTTATGATCATGGCACAGTATAACCTGGTAGTCATATTGACCTTACTAGTTGTGCCTAGCTCACACGATTGGACTTATTTTAAATTATCCAGGCCTTAAAGAACAAAATATGGTGCCCAATCTGCAAGCGAGGAGAACTCAAGGAGACCCATCATCTCATATATCATGGTTTGATTATATGTTCTTTTAGTGCTGTAATTATTTTTCTAGATTTTTGAAGTGATAGATTTTGAAATTTATGATTCAAATTCATTATTGTGAAAAAATAATATAATCTTAAGGAGTGAATTACTAGTCTTTAAATTGATTTAAATTTAACTATATTATTATGTTCATTTTACAATTCTCTAGTTACATTGGTTTTGAATTTGGTATTATATTTATTTATTTTCTATGGGAAGCAGAAATTAAGAGTTCTTAAGTTTAAATTTACAGGCTTGTTAAAAGGAGAAATTATTACGTGCGGTCACTGAACCATCTGAAGGTGAATTAGGATGTGGCACGTATATATATACAATGGTACACAGTAAAATGATAATGTGATATAATAATTTCTCTGTTAGAAGGGGATGTTCACAATGATGATATACTAGAAGGTAGTTGGTCATCATCACTTGAACTTATTGGTGATATGAAATTTAATGATGTTTGACATATCACCTATAAAATAATAACTATAGATTAACTAAGTTAATTATGTCACCTTGGATACCATTATTCAAGCTGTCAAATTGGGTAATAATCTAATTTTATTGAATTTATTGAAAAGCATTTTGCTAAAAATAATTTTGACATTCGAACAAAATATTGTAACTATAATAATTAAGTAACATATTTATTTTTAACAAAGTCGTACTAAGAATTATGCTAAAAGTTATGATATTATAAGTTACTGTTAAATTATTGTTTTTAACAATTTCATATACATAGGCTTAAATTAGAGATATAATAATTTAGGTTTTATTTGAGAATTCTTTTTTGCTACTTTTTAAAGCAGTTTTTAAATATAAAATTTTAAGTTTTTAACTAAATTTTTTTCTTAAGAAGAACTAAGAAAATAATCTCAAGTGAAGCCTTAGTTTTTTATTATAAAAATACTAATGTTAATCACCTAATCCAATAATTAATATCTAAGCAATATGTACCCATGGGTCACCCACTATTCAATAAACTATCCTATTCAAACGATTATTTTTTAAAACTCTAATTCCTCCGCAACTATTTTTAAAAGAACTTTTATAGCAGCAAGAGCCCAATCAAAGGAGGACGGTCCGGTCACCTGACGTTCGGACATCTAATTCAGATGCGTCAAGTCACCTAAATACACTGGATTCAGATGTATTTGAATAATGTGACGCGCCTGAATTGGTGTCCGGACGAATCCGAATAATTTTACCCAAAGGAGACCTTAATTATAGCATCAAAATATATATAGAACAACAGTACGTTACAATCTAAGCATATCTCAGTGGCTAATTATAAATATGTAGAAAGGAATTATTCAGTAATTGTCACTCATGGCGAACATAGACATCGTACTCGACGACAGCATCGCCGGTGAATAAGTCGAATTGGTGCGTGCGAGCGAGCGCGTATCCCCTCGCAAAGCGAAACTTGCCGCTGCCACCAACCACGGGCATCTCCCTCACATCAGAGAGGACGGTGTTCCGGCCAAGCACGGCGAGCGAGCTGCCGTTGAAGTCTCCGGAGACGAAGGCGAGGTTCATGGCCATCAGGAGTCCGGCCTCCTCTTGCGATGCGAGAGCGTACATTCCCTGCGCGTGGCCGAGGAGCTTGGAGTTCCTGTCGGGGCCTTCGGTGAGGGGGTCGTCAATCATCACGACTGCTCCGAAGCCGGTCGTTGAGAGAGAAGTGGTGGGGGCCTGCGCCACACGGATGGCGGTGGGGCTCAGCCCGCTCACGACGTCGTGGAAGAAGAAGTGGAGGTGGGTTTCTGTGTCGTCGGCGGAGGCGATGGTGGTGAGAAGGAGTAGAGAGAGGAGGAGGAGGAGGAGTGGTGTGGCTAAAGACATGCTGGCTTTAGATGGAGAAATGGAGAAGAAAGGGATGGTGATATTTGTATTGTTTAAGTGAAGGGGGTTGGTTAAACCAAACAGTAGTTGGAGGTGGGAAGAATTTGGTCGCCAGAAGATGTGATAGAATGCGCATGCCAATAAAGTTGATAAAATATTTTTTTTTAATCGTATACTATTTTGTACCTTGATAAATTTGTTCAACGATATTTCTACTAAATTATAAACGTGCAAATTTTGATGCGTTTCATGATCGAAAAATTATCTTTTATTCTTTGGGCAAATCTAAAAATTAGGTGTTGTGTATACACATGTTTTCTTGGTGCATATCAAGTAATCGATTGGTTATGATAGGGCATTCGCTTCTAGCATGCCTTACAACAATGCTCACTTGAGGGTCATCAAATGCAAACTCACAAGAAGTATAAAGAGATGTTTCTCCACATGAGGATAATTAAGGGTTTTCGTGAATCACACGACTTGCCAGTCACCGCATAAATGAAGGCCAATCATCAAACCTACTCCCCAAATATCGTCCATGGTGTGCTACCATCATTTGTGCTCCCGCCTCAACTATAGGGACTGTTGACCTCACATTTAGGTGTGGTCATTTGATCCACATCTACCTATGATTTTCATGATCTACAACCACTTCATATGTGGCTCTTTGACTCACAATCAATCAGCTTGTAATCATCTGACCTACATTCTTCAGTCACAATCAAACTTACTATTAATGAATACACTCAATCAAGCTTCAATCATCATTAGATATCCCATCACATTGATTAATCATCATTTATACAATCAACAACCATTAGACGACTATTGCAGCCCTGCACTACAATTAGGTAGCTCACATAGTATTCTTAATCCTCTAGTGTTCTTAATCCAATGATGCACGCATATCCTATAGTTGAATTTTCAAGCTTATAGGTCACTATGTGACTATAACTTTGGTAATTCACTATAGTTATTTCATTGAGTATTAGACATTCATCTTATTGTGGTTTGTTTATGTGTATAAAAGGGTTAGTCACACCAATTTGAACCTTAGTGGCATTTAGGAAAAATAACTAAGATTTGTGTCTAGTGAACGTAGAAAAAATTTAAAAATTCAAACGCATATTCAATATGGATGAAACTTTAAACTAGTGAACTTAGATACTCTATATACCTTAGGAATTAAATTTACCTTCATTTGATGTTAATTGATCATAGAACAATAATAATCAATATCAGCCTTTATTTTAAGGGCTAATTTTTTCAAAAATTATAATAAATTGAACATAATTCATTAAAGTACAAAATCACCTCCACTCAACACTAAATAAATCCTAAAATCATTAAAAAACTAAAATTCAAAGCCAATATTGATTACATTTTAATTAATAATTAATTAACACTTAATTAAATATTAATTAAATAAATTCATTAAAAGTACAATATAAATCAAATTAACCTCAAACTTATAGAGATTGATACATTGGTCATCATTAACCTATGTTATTAATCACAGAAAGTTTGGAGTTCGTTTGATATCAAAATTAAATAGCCCCTCTTATGTTAACACAATTATATCATTTAAATAATTCATTAAACACTCAATTTCAAATATAATTAAATAAATATAATAAATATAAATCAAACATACATAAAAAAATGAATAAAATCAAATAAAATTTTTAGATTAATAGTTTATTTTAAATATTTTTTTGAATAAAATTTATTTATAATTCACTAATATTTAATTAAAATTTAAAAAATCCAATAATTAATTAAAAAGTACAAATAATCCAATTAAATAAAAAATAAAAAAAAATAAAACATAAAAATTTAATTAGAAAATGTATTTGATTAAATTTTATTTTAAATCATAAAAATTTGATAATTAATGTTAATTTTATAATAAAGACCTTTTCATGGATAATGTTTGCTTCCTTTTGAATGGCACTTTAGCATTCATTTGCAAGGCCCTTAATACATCCTAAATTACCTAATAATCCCTTTATGTGTTACTTGATTCCTTTTAGGAGAGCACTTTCATATATCGTTAAGGGATTTTAATAATTTTTGTAAATAATCAATTAATGGTTTAAGCACCATGCTAGCCTAGCCTCCACATGTAAAAGACAAGGTTGTATAAAATTTATAACCATTTATCCAACTTTAATAATACATTGACCTTATACATCATGGTTGATTCCACTTTGGAGGGCATGTGTATTGATTTTGAAGATCTCTTCTCTATCTCTTAATAAATATGTAATAAATCATTCAAGGTTTTATGTGATCATCAATCCAATATGGGTGATGATTGTATTTCATTTATAAGCCTTAGAATTTTTAGCTTAGTAGCCCTTGCACTTGGGGTTATTAATTTGCATATTCATTAAAATTAAATAATCAATATCAATCATTAAAACTTAAACAATAAAATTCAAATACACACAAGTTAAACTAACTAAAATTCACTTTTTTTTATCTTAATGAACAAACACTTTAAACTCATACAACCTAAACATTAAACTCTTATAGGACATAACAAAGCTACACATCCTCCTTCAAACACTTAGATGGTTTGCTAGAATGACCACCTCTTGACTAGGTTAGGTCGGTGGTGTGGATTGCTTGTCGGGTGTTTTACTTGGAGAGCACTCTGTGTATGTTTATTTATTTTATGCAATCTTGATGTAATGTATTTTAATTTCTATTAGTGCACTTAGACTCTTTAAGGACAGAATTAAAAGTATGAGAATATTACACAATTACCTTGCACTCTATATTTCTTTTATGCTTATGCTTTATAGTCTTGTAAGAGTGAAATTAGAATGTACATACCTAGGAGATGTTGTACATGTGTATAAGTTATTATAATGTACGTGGTTTTATATAGATCGAGTTGTATAGTATCCTGAGTTATAAAAAGAACAAAATACATCTACTTTTACAGACAAGTGTGGCTCCAAAAGATGATGTCCTCTTCTTTGGAAGATATTCTCTTTTGGAGTTCCATAGAAGGCCTCGAGCTTGAAGAACATAAGTAGATGTATTTGATTATATATATATATATATATATATATATACACATGGTAGGCTTAGAAACCTAGGTTTATTGTGGTGGAGCTTATCAACCTTACTTTCTTGTAGAATATGAGTATGTTGTATATATTCAAATCAATAAATGAATAAAAATTAATATTTTATGTAGACTGGTCTTTTATTTATATTATTTCATAAATTATATTTATGTGAGTGGTGGTTTACATTAGTGGGTAATAGTATTTCAGATTTTTTTTTTCGGTGTATATATTCTAAACTTTGTAGGAACATGATACTAGTTCAAGGATGATATAGCTCTGGGTGTAGTCGATACCAATCTCTTTACCTATTTATACATACATATATGCATAATTTACTTTGCTATGTACGATAGAGCCCAAAAATTTTATGCCCACCATGGGCAAGGTAGCAGGGTCCCAATTGAATTTGGGGGATGCTATGCTTTTCCTGATGGTATAGAGCCATTATGCTACCAAAATTTCTAAGAACTTTAAATAGTTAGAAAATTTAGTTTGGTAAATTAAATAAGAAAAAATTTTGAGTTTTAGTGAGTCATCTCGTTAGCATAATTTAAACATAAAGTGTAAATTATTCATCTTGAGTCATCAATTCAGAGACTAGTTTAATCCTTGGATCTCTTAGGATAGAGTTGATTGTATCATGCATTACATTTAGGATAATTACGTATATATTAAGTTTTTAGTTGTCAGCTCATTCCAAGCAAGCGTACATAAGCCCAGAGGTATTTACACATCTTACACCCTTTATAAATAATAAAAATATAATTAAAAAAATTCAAATGTATTTTCTACAAAATTTAATAATATTATATATATATATATAAGGAAAACTGCCCATTACTAGCGGAATTTTTCGACAGAGTTCCTGCGGAATTGTTTCCGGCGGTTTTTCCGTCGCATTTCCTACGGATAAAGGTCAAATTTTTCCGACTGGTTTTTTCAACAGAATTTCCGACGGATTTTCCAGCATATTTTTTCCGGCGGATTTAAAATTTTATGAAAATAAATAATTTGAAAAATTATTATAATTGGGCGGTTCGCGCGCTGGCGAGGAGGCGGCCGGAGAGGGGTTCACGCGCTGGTTGCGCGCACGCGCAGGCAGGGTTCGGAGCGACGGGCGGCAGGGTTTGGAGCTGGTACGGACGCGAGTTTATCCCGCATAACGCTTTTTTTTTTATTTGTTTCCGGCGGATTTTTTTCCACCAAAAAAACATTCTGGCAGATTTGGTACGACGGAAAAACTTTCCGACGCTCGATTTTCCGGCGAAGAAAATTTCGCTGGAAATCCGTCGGAAACTTTAAAAATCCGCCCGAAACTATCAAATATTCCGCCGGAAAGAAGAGATTTTCCTGTAGTGTGTATATATATATATATATTCAAGGCAATTTTATTATAGTTTAAAATCAAAATAAGTCTAATCTCTACTTTAATCAAAAGTTTTCTTTTTGAAAATATAATTGACTGTAGGGGCTTACCTCTATAGGAACCTAAGATCTCAGTATAAAATAAACCCTATCTTAGTTCACTTATATAGGAGAAAAATCTTCTGTACATCAACTAAAGCTAATCATAGGTTAACTTTGTATTTAATATAATAGTAAATACAAATTTTATTCTTTAGGATAATCTTTACATTCTCTTTGCTGAGTTGAATATGAAAATAAATTACTTCTTTCCTCAAATTAATAATGTAGTGTTAGTTTATTCTTTGAGATAATAAATAATAATTATGCAGATTTGCTAAAAAAATATTAAATATCAAATCAGTGGTTATTTTTTAATTTTTCCATAGGGAAGAGCTGATTCAACGGGCCTTTAGTTTTCCCTATAGTGGCTATCCTACCAGCTCACTCTCCATCCTTATAAAACCATCTCACCCTCCATCCTTTTCTAGGAGATCCAAGGCTCCAACATAGGTCTCCGACAACTCTAAGGAATCTACTAGTTACAAGTCCGTCCTAGTTAGTTCTTGCTAAAAGAATTGCCCATGCACACTCACTCCTACA